AAAATGTGATATAACAATAAGTGTTTTATACGGCTCCCTGGAGTGCTCGGTCGGCAGCTATCGTAAAGGCTCTTCTGGCGAGCCGATAATGTTCGCGAACCAGCAAAGCGGACGTCGGTCGAGCAAACGCGCTCATCCTCCATAAAAAAGCAGGGAGAATAGAGGCATTCAGGGGGAGGAAAAGAACGGCTCGGGCAAGAGGTCGCCGTGATAAACTCCCGCGATCTCTCGAATCTCGAGCTTTGAGCAATTGCAGACTCGGCATCGAAATCAAGACTGCGTGCTGCGGCTCCGCGAGATCCTGGCGGAGCGACCTTACTTGGATCTATCGCGATCTCTCCACCGCACCGTTGATGTGAGCAAAATGTCTGTGGCATATCATCAGGGTCATTTTCTCCTCCATCAGGCATCACAACGGTGAGTGACAAGTACTCGAACGAATACAGTGGACTAGGAAGCGGTTCAATGTCGAGCCCACTCTTGGAGAATCGATTGTGAGAGCGCCGAGGAATTCCGGCATTATCAGTCCGATACCGAGAAGCCGAATCACCATGAAAATGTGCAGAGTTGAGAAAACAGGAGCGCCGATGGAGTCGGTTCCCGGTCTTGCTGTCGCAGATTTCCTCAGGCTCGTGCGGCCTTCCCCCCTGACTATTTACGCGGCGTCTCGCCCCCTCGATCTTCACGAGTTCATCCGTATTCCCCCGAACACCGACTCTCCGCTCCGTCCCTCTCGGCACCACAGCCTGTGAGCCCTCGATTTAGGATCAGCTTGATTCCAAGTGCACCTATGGCGACTCCGGGACCTCAAACGAGAAAATGTCGGAATTCGGACCGTGAGCTTTCGAGGCTGATGAGAAGGGAACCGAAAGAAGTTGAAATGATCATAATATCGCTCATTCAGATAGCCGTGGTGACGGGGCCACTTCAGAACAGTCCGACTACATACGACGGTCGGTTCCGCTTGCTCGGTCTCCGCGGCCAGGTGGAGGCAAAGTCGTTTGAGGAAGGCAAAAATTCATTCACAAGACAAACGAGCAGGCGAAACGAAAGGAACAAACGCTAATCTATGTTACGCTCCTGAAACGCTCCAGTCCGCCGCCGAGCCAGGCAGAAACCGAACGCCCAACAGACACTTACAGAACATCCAGACCACCGAAACGGCGACTGCAAAAAGAAAATGACGATGGTGGCGCAGACCCTTTCCGGTGTTTGCTCCGTCGTCGTCGTCGTCGTCGCTCATTCGTCGTAGGCTCCTGCGCAGGTGCATTGTACGAGGAATTGCCGCATTCGCATGCACGGAATGGCACAAGCCTCGTTTGCGCACTCACTCAGACCTTCGGATGGTCGGCATGACTGGCTGTACGTGCGAGCATTGAAAATCTTGTGGCCGTGGAAGACAGACGCTCTTGTCGGCAAATAGCAAGCGGACTTTTTCGCAAGTTGTTATTGTCTAGATTGCGTCTGAATTGAGTGACCAGCCGACCGAGCGACCGGTCGGTCGTCCGGCCGTCTGACCGACGGGGCCGGCAGGCTCAGACTGGCAGGCAGGCGAGCGTACGAACAAGCAACTCAAAACTCCAAAGCAGCCTCCGCGGCAGCATCTGTTCCATTTATGGCCGTCGAGCAATACGGACTCTGCAAATGATGACTTGCCTCAATTCCCGCGACTACGCCGGCGCCCACGCTACCGACACCACGACTGACGAAAACCGCGGCGGCAACATCAGTGCACAAGGCAGTCAACAGCAAATCTCGCAGTACTTCAATTCAGCATCATCTCGGAGCTTCTATGGCGAGCTGATGCACTCGACGAATCGGGAGCCACTGTGATGCTCCTTTTTTGTCCGAGTCTTTCCGCTCTTGGAGGATTCGCCTCTGGCGTCGCAAGGAATCGAACCGACTCGGAGCGCTCAAGCTCGAGTCCGAATTGGTCTCGCCGATCCGCAAGTGGCAAGCACGAGCTAATCGGCGTGGCGACCGGCAACAGATATAGCGTGCCACAGTGCCACGTAACTGCGGGGCAGGCTCTCGAGGCTGGCAATCGCTAGGATTTTTCCTGTCTCTGCATCCCCCGTCCCAACCCTCTCCCTGCTAGCCGCTTTTGCGTCCCGCTTTTTCTCTTTCCGATTTGCGTAGCCCAAATCCCCTATGGCAGCGGAGTTTATAGAGCAATATAATATTCGAGTTATTTCGCCCTTGTTGTCGTCGTCGTCGTGGACGTTGCTGTTGCTGCCGCGGCCGCGAGTTTATAGTCATCACGATCCCAGCAGTCGCCGCCACGGGGGAACCTGGTGGGGAAGAACAAGGCGCCACGCAAAATAGAAGGCAGACCAGCGGAGGTCGGCGGCATTGGCGGCCGCGGACTCTTCATCCGACCAAGCAGAAATATCCTCGCCATCATGGCCATCATTTTCATTAGCACGAACCAATACTCATTTATCATCACGATCCTGGAGGCGCTTGACTCCGACTCCGGATGCCGGCTGTCAGAACACTTTCAGAGAGGCATACCATCAAACATTGAAGGCCCATTCGAAAATCATAGAAACCGCGCCGACGGAGCTCTAGCCTCGATAGCTCTGGTCGGGGTCGGGGGGCGCCTCCGGTCGCCGGTCTTCTGGGAATCCCTTGCCAGCGAAGGGATTCAGTGAGGCGATGGGTGTCTTCGGTCAATACATGGGTCTCATGATTCACATCCGACTCGAGATTGAATTCCGACGAATATCGTCCGGTTGCCCCTTTCCGGGAAAGCACAGTATGATAAGCTCCACGGATTCGACCAAGAATCGAAAAAGTTCGCGCCACGTGAGAGCAGAGCATTGGACCCACAAGGAGTCCGTCGACTCCCTCTCTGTACCCGCAACCGTAAGCCGCTTGCCGCGCTCCTTTTATCCGGGCATCGAAGCAAACGAACTCGTCCGAACACGACCGACTATCTGGTGGGGTCGGTCCATATGATTCCTGGGAAGCGACGAAGTTCAGAGCCAATCGATGCTATCTCAAAGTTTCCTATTCAAGGAGCAAAGCTCAACATCGACTCCGAACAGCGCGAAATCTGACGTCTCAGACCGGCACCGGACGAGCGCGGGCGGGGAATACCGCAGATTCAGTTCACAGTGTATTTGATGCGTTTCCAGAATATCCTTCCGCTCTTGGTCATTCATATATTCGTCAAAATGATTTTATTCGCTTCTCTTTCGAGGAACTCAGGGTCTGGCGTGAATCTACGATAGTGGGAATACTCTCTGAGCCCTCCTTTGGAGACTGTCCCGGGAGGATTCAGGGCTGGGAGTAAGAGAAAGAATGGAAGGAGATTCCTGGCACAGACATCAGGGGAAGAACCGGATTGCAGTTCCTGTCTCGAACCCCTTTCTGCACGTTTCGCTCCCCTGATTCTCTACCTGCTCCTCGAATGAAGGGCCCTCCACATGGAGAACGTTTCCTCGAACACTTGGAAAGGCTAGCGAATCTAATCGAATCAAAGCAGTAATACTGCAGCCGACACAAACAAACAGTCGCTCACATTGAAACGAAGGTGAACGCGCCGTTCCATGTGGATTTCTGCCAAAACAGTCGGCTACCGCAGGAACGCTCGCGTCTGCATTCAATTCAAAATTTGTCCCCAAGGTAGCGATCGAACAACTCTGGTCATATGTCCGATGCAGTCTATGATGTTTACTCAGGTCGCTCAACGAAGTCGTTGGCTCTATGAAGGACTCAGCGGCCTGGCGATGGAGTTGAGACGAAATCTGTACATATTCGACTTTCCGGGTCTCTGAACGAATATCTCCGTTCCAACCTTGTCTTGCGAATCGACCACGTGGAGGGGCATATTGAGCGACGTGTGGAATGAGAGGAATGGAAGCTCTCGGTATTGATAGAATTTAGGGCGTTTAGCGCGCATGTCGGATGTTTTTCGCGGCGTACCCCTGAGGCGTATCCAGAGGGGGCGGGGGGCAAGGGAGCCATGGCCTCCCAATTTTTCTATCTCTCTTACCGCAGATCATTGACCGGAATCATCATATCATACGGGCTCGCTAGAAAGAATATTGAGGAGGACTTTTCCTCCCATGGGGCAACTCCCACGTCCGGACGGCCGGACTCCGGGGCCGAGGAACTTTCCACGACCGCACATTTTTCACGCTCGATCCTCAATTTCTGTACGTGCACGAGCTACCGAGAGGTCGTGTGTAGAATTCACATCATAGCGAAATTTCCTGACGAGCTCTAATCTCGGAGTGTCTCGCACACTTGGAGAAATTCCCGAGAGCGGCCATTGTAAGTCTGCCGTCTGCCCTGCTGTGATTTTCCTTCTCTCGCTCGTTGGGCACTGTTTCTCCTCTCATTTCGGCATCTTAGTTCACTTGTAGAAGTTCTCCGCGGGCACCATTAGTTTTCCTGCGATCTCTTTCCTCGAGCGCTGGAACGCCGCATTCGAGAATTCGAATCGCGACGGCACAATGGAAGCGGAATGAAATTGGCTCGATGGCACCGGCGAGAGACAGAGCCACCCTACAGCCTCCCTCCCTTCCTGTCGACCAAGCCACCCACCCTCAAACCAAATGTTCAGCGAAAAACTCTGATTCAATGATGGCGTGCGCAGCAACAATTTGTGTTGCAACGACGGAGACGACCGCACCGGCAAGCCTCCAGAGCTACGCAGAGAAACTGCCGGGAATTCCTTTGCTCGCAGATTTCCTTCCGAGCTCCCCGCACCTCCATTCCGAATCTCACGGAGCGTGCTGAATATCGAAATGTTTTCCGTATCCCGGAAACTTCCGAGAAGCTTGACCAGGGCGAGAGCTTCGTGTCCATTCCATTCTATTGGATGCACTTCGGTATTCCCATAAGTGCTGTTCTATGCCCCCTCCCTTCACTGACGATGTGAGTACATTCTTAAAATGACCAGGGAAGATCAGATCAAGCGTTGGAGACGAGTCAATAGAGAGTTTTGAGCTCCTTCAAAATAATTTATGTTTTCCTTGCTTCATGAATATTCAGGAGGATTTGAATAAGCCCATGAGGCAGTCTTTGGCTTGCATGAAAGCAGCCTTTTCAGCGTCGTTCCTCCGGCTCATGACGTCCTGCAGTTGTTGTTTGACACAGGGCATGAACTGCTCTTGCTGCTGTGATTCATTCATACCCTGAACTTGTTTGCCACACTCGACCCCTGCGCTTGTCACTGCAGCCGTCAAGGTCTCGACCACTTTGAAGTCAATTTTCTCCATCAGGGCAGAAACGCAGCCTTTCATGTTCGCGAAGCCATCCTGGAAGTTTCCGGAAGCTTACTGGTGCCGAAGGATGAGAAGATTATCGAGAGAGCGCTGAAGTAGTATCTCTGGTTTCCCAGACGCTCCGGCAAGTTTTCACTGGAACCCGAGCCTTCACTCACCTTGAATTTCTGCTGTTTCTCCGGAGGAACAGTGTCGTCAACGAGACTCTTGAACATCGCTTCGAGATCCTTGAAGCTCGCAGCGGACGCCTGAGAGGCGAAGCAAGCCATCATCAGGAGCGGAGTGAGTCCTTTCTGGAGAAATCAGAACGAGCATCTTTCGTGAACTCTTTCCCCACATAGGAGTCCAGATGGGCTTGAATACTTCGTCCAGGACAGAGAAAGAATCGAATTCCTACCATTTTCCTCGAGCCAGCGCCTTTCTATTCCAGTTTTTGCGATTTACCAAAGGGACCGCAGGTAGGATTGTCGACTTACTGAGAGCATGTGTGGCCCCCTTCCGCCGCTACCCGCACTTATAACTCGCGGGGAAATCCCTCCTCGAAATCTGCATCGCGACTCGCAACCGATGCTGGCGCCGCCTAATGGAACTCTACAAGGCCACCAGGCGCATAAGATCACTCGGGTCCGATAATGACCGACTAATGACCATTCCAACTCATTCGACTTGTTCCCAGATACTTCTGGATTTTATTCCGACGACAAGCTTGCCGATAACTCGTGGCTCACCTGTTTCCAGAGGCGATCGCCAGCGGTGTAGGTCTCCGGATGCGGCGCTTGATTGCCACGCCTTCCGGAATCGAAAGTTTGTATTAATTTGAGCTTTGCCCCGAGAAATCCCCAGCTCGCTCAGCCGCCTCCTAGGCATGCTAAGTTGACAGATGCAATCCACGGAGAAAAGCCCACCGGAGAAGGCGAGCGGCGAAGTTTGATGCGGGAGCGAGTTTGGCCGCTGTTGGGGGGAAGGGCGGGAAAGTAGCGCCTATCCCTCATTGGAGCCTTGTGTTTGGTTCTCGCAAACGGTTCTCTTAACAACACCGCTGGCTAATCTAATGAGCTGGTGGGTGCAATTCATCGCAAGGTTTGGCCAGCGAAAGGCTTCTCTTTCTTCTGCAAGCTCCCAACTCACCATCAACCAGCTAACCAAACCTCCAGCCGCGGCGCCTGTCCGTCTGACCGACGGACCACCAACCGAAAGACAGAAGAGAGTGAGACGCGAACGAGGCAAGCACCGAACCGACAAGACAAGGCGGGCGGGCGAGCGCGAGCCGCGGCAGCATAAGCCAAACAGTGGCCGCTGCAGATGGATAATCTGGTTAGCAAGTAGGCAGCACTTTCTACCATACAGAGGGAGTCGAGCAAGCCTTTCGTTTCCGCTCGCGCACATGCAGTACTTTTGGCCGACGTAACGGTCGTTCGGTCGGCCGGCCGGCAGGCAGGCAGGCGAAGGACGGGGTCTCTCTCTATGTAGTACACATCATGTACTGCGATGATCGGTTCCCACGATACATCGGGGGAAAAAGTAAGCCCATATCCTCGACGTGATTTCTTGGCGATCGATGACATCCGGAGGACTGCTAGCTGAGATGCGCAATGGAAATAATAATCGGAGCTATTAAGGCAGAACTTCTCCTCGGAATTTCTCAAGGAAGCTGGCGTCTCTCAGACCACAGACCTGACGCGAAACCGCTCGCATTGTGTTACTCGCGTGGTCGGGCTTGGGGAAGAGAATCCATCAAAGTTGACAGGCGAATACAATGCTCGCACGAATGCGCAGTCTCGGGGCAACGGGAGCATTCCCGAATATGAGTTATGATGAGTAGGGTGCCGGAATAGACTCGTGCGCAGGAAGAACTTGTCTCTATTCGATTTCCTAGTAAACATGCCAACTGAAGCATTGTGCATCCGTTTGTTCGAAACTCATGCACCGGAGCGCTTCTTTTGAATCAGACGCAACAACACCCCGTGGACCTTGCCTGCTAGACGGGTTCATCACCTCATCGGGGGAGGGCTGGGTCAAACTCCGTTGGCGGCTGAAAGGGATTGATTCTTTTTACGAGTTCCGCACATTCTCCATGCATGAGGAATCTTCTGCGAGCTCGACTTCGCAGGACTCGCGGAGCTCCAGCGGGAATGCGGTCCAGCAATCCGAGGTATGAGTAAGCTGTCAGGGATTCTCCGGGGCGGGGAAGGGATTCACACAGTCATCTCACGACCTCCAACGGAGAAATGTCCGGTTGATCTAGAAAACCTAAAGATTGTCCCGTGGCTTCGGGTGAAGCTTTGAATACAATTCGCCATTAGTCTACGGTGGAATTAAGGCGAAGAAGCTGCTCTTCCCATCCTGCCTTCGTTGAATCAGAGCGGAGCTGATCGACGCGGCAAATCCACACACTCAGTCGGAGAACGCCTCTGACAGAGAAGTAGATGACCGATGCGTAATGTTTTCTTTGTGGCTCCTATCGAGCCACCGGTTTTTCGTTGATGAGATTCTCGCCGTACCGGTCGGAAAGAACCAGAGGCTAGAGCTCGCTCTTCCTTCGGGTTCACTCCGGTCGCCCGATATTCTTACAAGACCCTTGCGCGGTATCCGATCGAAAGGAGCTCTCGCGACAGGACGCTAAGGATGATCTTCTCGCTGGAGTCCACGTCTATCCCCCCTTGCCAAGAACCTGTTCGCGTTGATTTCCCTCCGCGAGCGTTCGAGCATCTTCCCGATGAAGAAATCGACCGGAGAGAAATCTGCCAACAGGCCAGCACCGATCGAATACTTTCTTATCATCAGACATAGTCTAAAGTTTCCAACTTTCACAAGCTTCGTGTGGACTTTTCTTCCCACGTTCGGGAACAGGTTACAGATGAGAGGTGGCTGGAAAACAGCTTCTGCTCGTGCAGTTTCATGTCGTTCCGCGTTCGAGAAGGGAGAACAAGAAGAGAACGGGCACGAAGAAAGAATGGTCGGGTATGAGATGCCTTTGAGCCTCTACGCTGCGCCGAAGCTCTTCTTCATTCCGAAGGGAAACGGAACGAATAAAGCGCTCCCAACATGCTCTGAGCATGGACTAGTGTAGTCGTGTGCACATCGTGGAGCGACTTGCGCACTGAGCGGAGAGCTTCCGTAGCGCATTGGATTTTCGAGACGAATGCTTAAAACGAAACAAACAGAAAATACTCGAGGGAGGGCCGTCGCACACTCAAACAAAGAGAATCCCATCGATACCATGCGTTTCGGGAATCGTTTCGCCGAAAAGAGCTCAGATCTCCTTCATCCACCAAGTCCATCACCGATACGCTTTTGCGTCACGACTCGGAAGTGGTTCACTGCGACAGACCACATGCGCCACCGCCGCCACCACGGTCGCCGATGTCGGAGCCTGGTCGGTTCTGGGGGCGCATGCCTCGGATTTTCGTCGACAGAAGGCCGGAGAGGCTAGCGCGCCTCGTTCTCCTCGCAAAACGTTTATTTAACTCCGTGACTCCTCGAACGCTAGCGGTCGCAGGAATTTCCCCGTGGAGACATTCGAAGACGTTGGATCGGAGTCGATATTGCATCCGACCCGCAACGTCGGCGTCGCACAAAGGTCACGAATAACTCATTAAGTGGACCTATTTACTTCAATGCTTCTTCGAACGGTATTCTCCGGACGGGGAGGGGGATGAGGAGTCGAAGAGGTTTTCCGACCCTTAGATGCCCCACGGAGACGCTGTCCGAGGTCCGCGAAAGGACCACGCTGACTCCTGTATGTGATTCAGAGAAGCATCCTACCCATATGACTTTCATCCTACCCATATGACTTTCATCCTACCCATATGACTTTCATCCTACCCATATGACTTTTCGATTTGAACGATGAGGCTCTTGCGGCGAGATTTTAATGTTCCGTGTCAAGCTGGAGAGAATCGGATCCTTTGTTTTTCGGGCGAATCGGGTGACTGGAGGTCTTCCGACTGGGACTGAGCTGAGATTTTCCTGAATTTTCGACCTTCGATCGTTCCACACTTCGTTATGCGAGCAAGTCTCGTCCAACCTCTCGCTCCGAAGCTCCAACCACAAATTCCTTTCGGCTCATGGAGAGAGTTCTGGTCTCCTCCATCGCCGTCAACTTCCGTCCACCCCGAAACTTCAGAGCGATTATGTATCGCAGAGCTCAGCCCAGAAGTGCACCACGTTGATGCTCGCAGCGCACTTCTGCTCCCAACGGAAGCAGAGACCGCGCTGGCTGGCCTCTGAGTCAGATTCGGAACGTCAGCTGCTGGTTCTCAATGTATCGTTCCGCACCAGGAAGACAGGAAACAACCTACCGAAAATCTCGATCTAGCGCCGAAATGACTCGGATCGCCTTCTACTCGCTCTCTACAATCAGAGTGGATTGTGACACAATTTGTGTCCCGCAGCGAACTTCGCTCTCCGGCCCCGAGATGCTCACCTTCGGGCTGATTGCTAGCCTTAATTTAGAAAATAGGCGAAAAAGGCTCAGTAGTCCACCTGAGGAGCGATTTTTCGCCGCTGCGCGACGACGTGATCCGCAGGTCCCGACCCCGAGCTGAGCGGACACGTAGGCTCCCTCGCTCCTCCGCTAGACCACTTTTCCGACTTATAGGCGGAGTCGATGAGCTTTGGTCGGCAGATCCAGCCCGGAGCTTCACTATCCCACAAACACCCAGGATTCGAGGCAGAAGACTGCGCGACAATGATCGACCGTAATCAGGGCGGAAACAGGAAATTAATTCGGTGTTAAGGCCATCCAATCGAGATTAGGCGTCTTTAAGGTGTTTACCCGGTGACCTCAGGATGTGTTTGAGGAAAAGATTCGGGCCCGAGCGTAGCAGGTCTACAAATCGTGTCCCTTTGGCACGTTCCCTAAGCAGAGAGCTTATACCCTTTCCGGAGAGTTCGCGAATCGTGGGCTAAGTACATGCCATCGATGGAGCTCTAGCTCCGAGTTCCCGGTTTCGAGGGTTTCGCGGTGCAATCGGAGCTAAGCGGAGGCTGAGGGCTGCAGGACGCATCCGGGTAGGCAGGCATAGTCCTCGACGCAGAATGACCAGAGTCAGACGGCTGGCGGTGTGTGCAGCAGATAGGAGAGGTAGGCGCGAGCGATATAACAAATGCTCTAAGTTTATCGTCGGCTCCGACGAACGCTCGAAGCAGCGAAGGGTCCCGAACCCGGCTCCTTGATCTACCTACGCGATGCAACGCTTTCCGGGTTGGGCAGCTGATTTCCCCAGAGTGAAAGTTGCAATTCTCGACGATGACCACGTACTGGGGCTGGGGGCAAGCAAGAGCAGGAGACGAAGCGCACGGGAACCTCCCGCCGCGAGAGATGCGGTTCCAGACAAGTTAGTCTCGGTAACTAGGGTTAGTTGGCTTATCACGGTATTTCTCGTCAGCTTTTCCGAAACGAATGGCAGATGCTCCATCTGCTAGTCTCATTCCTCCGTCGGCCGCATCGAGTTACTTCACCCTTTCCGAGGAAATAATCCACTACTGGAATA